AGTTAGTTTAGTAAATAGATTTTGCAGTTTTAGTTATGTTTTTTTTTCATTTTATTACAGTTTTTTTTATTTATTTTAATTAACTAAAATGTTTTTTCAATTTCAGTTTTCGTTATTTAGTTAACTATAATAACTCTGGCTCTCTGTACTCCATAGTGAACCTTTCCTTTAACTTTTTCTGCCACACATTTGTCACAATCACTTTCTTTTCTTTATCCACTCCATCCTGCCTGAACTTTCTAAGAGACTGAATAAAAATCTAAAACATCAAATATACCCAGTGGGTCATGATTCACTTTATAATACCAAATGTATTTACAGTTTTTTTTTACCTAAATCTTAGGTTAAACTGCATTTTGGTTCTAGATTAATTTGTTTTCAAAACATGAATTTAAAAAAGCAGCAGAAAATAGACTGAGCTCTTACCCTTCATTGGTTTTTGTTTATAGTGACGTCCTAAAGGTGGCAGAAATGGTTGTGAATGGACAGCTGGTCTGAAATTTTCTGCGTTTTCATGGCGGTCTGGCTGTGGCTCTGGGTTTTCTGTGAAACTCAAGTAGCTGCGTGGAAGGGAATCTGAACTGAAATCCTCTCCGAAGAAGGTGGAATCTACCACTGCTGAAACAAAATGAAATGACTTAATGTTAAAAATGATTTAAAAATAGAAATAATCTCTTCTCACAGATTCATCCAACTTTAAAACCTCCCGCCTCACCATCAGGGATCTGTGGCTCGTGCAGCGTCACTCCCCAGGCCTGCGCGATGTGCTGCATGAGAATGGACGTAATCCTGCGGTGAGCAACAGCGTTCCAGTGGACTCCGTCTTTTGTGCGATGCTGCAGCAGGAACCGGAACTGGAAGTGGAGGTCCAAAACGTCCATGTCATACGCATCAGCCAGAGTGCCGCTGTAGAAGTTGGCTTCGATCACGTCAAAACGCAGCTGCAGACCTCTGTACTCAACCTGGGGTTGAGGCAGAGAAGTGAAAGCTTTGAAGCTTTACATCAAAGATGTGATAAAATAAAAAAGAAAGGGCTGGAGATGGTAATTGCTAAACGGATGTTTGGTTGTCCACAGAAAACTGAACCAAAACAGACCAGGGGTCGGATTTATAAAACTGGCGTACGCACAATTTGAGCCCAGGGGTCAGATTTATAAAACTGGCGTACGCACAATTTGAGCCCAGAAACTTGCGTACGCCACTTTTCACGCCAAGGTTGTGATTTATAAAATCCAAACTTGACATGAAAATGTGCGGTGCCTCACGCCAGATCTGACCCATGCGTACGCTCATTTTGGAGACGTGAAGCTGCGACACATTATGAAGATTTTTATTCAGCTTTATCATCAGCTTTCTTAACAGAAATATTTATGCTTCTGCTGCTGAGCC